TCCCTCCCCCCCCCCTTTTCCCTCCCTTCACCTCCCACCCGTCCCAAGGCATATGTTATTACCATTTTTCTGTCCAAACCAATGAAAAAATTGTAAAATGAATGATATTTTCCTTACTGATGGAATGGGATCCTCGACCTTCTGCACGAAGTAATGCTACTTTTCACACTGTGCCATAACTTTCATACAGATATGTTGAATAATAATGATGTTTCTGTTTAGCCCCAGCGATTGTAGGCCATCAGCAAAATGACCCAGGACATGCAGCGGCTGCTGCTTGGAATCAGCAATTCTACGGCCAACAGGGGCAGCAGCAGCCCGGATATCAGCAGGGGGCTTACGCCACACAATTCCAGCAACCGGCACAGCCCCAGCCGCAGCCTACTCAAGCAACTACTGCTCCAGCAGTCAACCCACAGACTGGTATGTAATTTTTGCGATATTGTTGTTTTGTTGATGCATTTGTCGAAATGGTTAGTTTTGCATTGGGGTATTATTCGTTTCATTTAAATTCTTGTTTTTCGACCGAGTTTTTCGTGCGACTTTTTATGTCAAGGTATGTGGGTGGGTGTGTGTGTGCGTGCGTATGTATGTATGTATGTATGTGTGTAGGTATGTGTGAGTGTGTGTGCGCGTGTGTATGCGTGTGTATGTATGTATGTGTGTATGTATGCATGTATGTGTGTATGTATGCATTTATGTGTGTATGTATGTGTGTATGTATGTTTATGTGTGTGGCTTCAAAAGATAATTTCCCTTGTATACGAAGGCCGAGCTGAATTCTTTACTGATATCATCAGTACTGAATAGTCCAATAGCACTGTGTAGAGAAAGATCTTGTTCTCCATGGAGTCTCTGTGTGTTTGTATCAGTATGTTCAAATTTGTTCATTTCTGATTGTTTCAAAAATTGTTTGGGAAAATATTTTAAAATTTCTTCCGTTTGTGCTCTGAAAAGAAACTTGATGCAAAATGGGATGTTTCTGGTCTCCATGTTAGCCAAATTGATGTTTGGTCAGTGAGGTACGGCACGAAAGCGATGGTGTTAGGTTTCATACTTCGTGCATTTTTGATAAGCATGTCTGTAGAAATGGTAAGAAACGTTTTACAACAGAACGAGGAGAATGCTTGTTTTTTGGCCATGAAGTATTTAAGAATGTTTTTTGAGAGTTATTTAGCTGTGGGGTTTACGGAACTGAGGTTTTTCACGAGAGATTTACAGCTAAGGGATGAAACACACAGAGACTGCATCAAAAAATGTCACCCTACTACATCCTAAAGGATAAAGGCAGTTTGCACCATCTGGAGACCCAATATGGTCGCAAAGCGACTTTCGTGCCAGTAGTAGTGGGAACATGCGGAGACTACCTAGTGGCCACCAAACAGGATGTATTTTCTCTAATTTTTTGCTGATTTTCAGGGCAGCCGGATTACAGTGCGCAGTGGGCCGAATACTATCGTAGTATGGGAATGCATGAACAAGCAGCGCTGATCGAAAATCAACTGAAACAGAATGCTGCAGCCGCTGCAGCTGCTGCTGCTGCCGCCGTTGTCTCGCAGCAGCCGGCCGCACAAGCACGCCCACAACAGCCGGTTAGTACTTTGAATAGTAGTTCAGCAACCTTAAAATCATTGCCGAAAGAGAAATAAAAAAAGTGCCACAGAAGCGCGGGATTCAGCCATCAAGGCCCTTTTGTTTGGAAGGCTTGGTAACTACAAGTAATTTTACCGGGAAATCGCAAGAATTGTCTAAAACATAGGATCGGCTTTTTGTGGTATTAAAAAAAAGGATGTTTGATTTTTGAAATGTTACATTTTGTGTTGGAATACTTAACCAGTTATAAGTATACAGCTTGCTGGACGACTCGATTTTTTTGCGTTTACGCATATTGACGAGGAGTTGTCTGTGTGCCCGTGTGTCTGTGTGTGCGTCTGTCACGCACTATCATCCCAAGACCTATAAAAGCTGCAGGGCTGAAATTTCGGGGACTTCTCTACTTGACGGGCCGGCCCCAATCCCCAAAATTGGCGCCATCATCCGTGAGGTACGCGCGCACGGGCCCGCCAAAGTTTTTTGGGGTAATTCCATAACTCGGGGATCTGCGAAGCTAGAACGCCGAAGTCTCAGGGGGATGTTCCCCTCCAAGTAGGTGATGACTCAGGCGCCAGGAGAGATAGAAAGCTGAAATTTTAAGGGGCTGTTTCCAGCCAGTTCTGGCGGCCAGTCTTAATTTGTTCAGCTAGAAGCATTTACCGAAAAAGCCGATGCCGGTAGCGACGAAAACTGCGGGAAACTATGTAAAAAACGCATCTTCGCACGGGTAGCCCATTCGTTGGCCAATTATTATTGTTATTTGGGAAAGGACGCGCCTTTCCTTTCGTCATTCTCTTGTTTGTAGGTCAATTTGTCCTTGATAGATTGTTCCCACTTATGATTTGGGCGAGAATTTGTCAAATCCGAAGCATTTGCAGGGCTATGGTGCATATGGTGCTCAACCGGTCACCGCACAAAATCAGTTCAGTTACGGAGCACCACAGGCTCAGCCACAAGCTGGTTATCAGTTCCCGCAGCAATACTGAAACACCGCTGAAATTTGGTTGCTGCACGCTTTTTTTGTCCTATTTTTTTTCGTATTGTTAATCGTCATCTATTTCGCTGCATTATTTGGTATAACTTGGAAGCCTGGAATAGGTCGTGAGGTCTTCAAGAAGTGCACGCGTTGCATCGTGTTTGTTATTGGTGATGTATGTGTGTGTGATGTGATATGATATGATGATGAGTGTATGGTGTTCGCTTATAGTCTTATTTTTTTTTTGGTTCGCAAATATTATTATAAAGCAAATGTTCCCACAGTGTGACAGCGGATTTGACCCGAAAAAATCGGGAAAAAAAAGGAAAATTTGAAATTTTTTGAAACTGCAAAAATGGTACTTAACGCTAAAGGGTATAATCTAGCTACCAACCGTTTAAGTATCATTCCGGCTAGGAGCTTATTTTGAGATGCGAATGATGTTTTGCAATGGGTTGGCGCATGGTTTTTATTTTCTGATTTTCTGGAACAAATGGGATATTTTTGAATTTTGTTCAGGTAGATCTCCCCAGTGCTCTTTTTTAATGCCAATTATTACACTGCTAATTGCTGCTGATGCTGCTGCCGCTGCCGCTGCTGCTGTTGCTACTGCTGCTGCTGCTGCTGCTGCGTTGTTATCAGTTCAAATCATCTAGCAAAACGTCTTTTTTTTTCTTCTTTTGACCTCTTCGTTGCGTTTTCTTGTTCGTAAATTTTGCGCATGGTTTTTTGTAGTTTTTTGGTTTTTTTCTGCAATGGTTACCCAAACATTTTTTTTTTTTGCTTTTGTTCAACTGGATTTTGTAATTGGATACTTTGTTATATTGTAATGGTTTTAGTTTGTGAATTTTTTTTATATTCTCAAGCCACAGTTTTAACACACATATTTAGTAAGCTTGTTTTTTTTTTTTTGTTTTGTCTTCTCCACTGCCCGTATAGTTTACATTGTTGGATAATGGTGATGATGATGATGATGGTTATGATGATGGTGATTATGATGATTTCTGGATTTGATATTGAAGCACATGATTATGAACCTTGAATTCTGCTACGTTTTCAACATCTGCTGGTGATCCCATGCTGTTATCTTCAATGAACATATGTTTGCATATGTGTTTGTTATGTTTCAACATCACTACTTGTGCGTTATTTGAAGAATTATCATGGATTCTGGTTTCTTAAGCGTTTCCTGTTGTGAACAACATGTTGCACACACGTTTCTTGTGGTGTACTTTCCAGTTTCTTCTGGTAGTTACGGGGCAGAAGTTCATATATACGAAGTACAGATCTTTGCTCGTATTGATTGTGTCTCCCCTGTTGTGACATGTTGCAGTTTACTTGTTTATGGAATCATTTTTTTGCCGACACCGATCCGCGAGGCCTATGAATTCTTGTTTCTGAAGCTCATCTGTTTGCAGAACGTGTGATATTCATTTGATGTTGAATTTGAATTTGATGACACATGTTCATTTGGGTACCCGTTTTTTGCGCTTGTCCATGTGTTATACGATGGTGATGATGATGACGATGACGATAATGATGATAACAGTAATGATGACAATGATGATAGTGTTGTGTTACTCTATATTGCTGCTGATTTTGCTAGTGTGCTGCTGGTTGGTTGGTTTAAAATGATGCTGTTGTGCATTTGTTGATGATGATGATTGATGTGATGATGTTGGTTATGAAAATCCACTGTTAAAAGCTATACGGGTACAGGTAATTATTTGCTCGCTCACACACTCTCTCCCTCACTGTGTCTCCTTTCCTTCTTTCCATGTGCTTGCGCTTTTTTATTATGATTATATATTCATGGTTTTTTCGGATAAGATTTTTTTCCCCTCTTTTTTTGTAGTGCAATTTTCTCGATAATGTCTCTTCGTTTCATTGAAATGCGATCGCCAACTTGTGTGTGTATTCTGTTTGTTGCTAATGCTGCTCCTGCTGATGCTGATATTGTGTGTGTGTGCTTGTTTGTTCATCTATATCACGTTACGTATACTTACACAACACATTGTGCTGCGTTGTGCCACTCTTGAAGACCACTCGATCATATTCTTTGAGCATTTTTTTCACTATTATTGCCATTATTATGATTAGCACTCTCTCTTCATTATT